GCAGTGGGTCCGCAGCTGTTTCCCGCGCTCGTGGAAAGGGAGGGGCCGCGCGGAGGCGCAGCCAGGCCCCGCGGCAGGGCGACGCAGGCACAGCCGCAGGCGGCGCTACACCACCAGCAGGCAGCCCCCAGCAGGCCATCGAGATCGGGAAGATCTACTGCCTGGCCCCCGACGCGATCGACCGTCTCCCGAGGATGGATGCGCAGATGATGGCGCGGATCTTCCCAGTGCTGATGCGAACGGTGTTGGGCAACACCTTCCAGCTGCGGGCGCTGATGGCGGCCGAGTTTCAGACTTTCACAGCGGACGATTCGGTCTCGGTCATCAAGGTCGGCTTCCAGGCGGGTCGGGCGTGCGCAACGGCGGCGACTCCTCTCCGTGCTGCTCGCCAGGCCGACCCCAGCGCTCCCGCTCCAGAGGCGAAGATGGGCCCTGCATGCGCCCAGATCTTCCTCGCGGTGTGCGACCAGATTGCCAACGAGGGCGATCGCGTCGGCGCGAGGAACAAATCAGCCTGGGAGACTCACAACGGGAAGAACGACGCGATTACGGACATGGTGGAGATGGCGATGTTGGTGAAAGGTTTCAGGTGACACGGGGCGGCGCAAACTCGTGGTCGCCCTCGCGGGCCCGACCATGATGAAGGTTCTCTCGGACTGCCTCGTCCAAATAAGGTTCGAGCACCGACAGGGCATGGCACCGCGGAGCAATGTGGAGCGGATCCTACAGTTGGCCGTGGACGAGTTCGAAGACAGCCTCTGAGGTCAGATGCTGCCCTTGCTACCACGGGTGGATCAACGGCAGGGTCGTCGATAGGCCAAGCAACTGCAGACCCCTCCCACCGTCCTGGGAGCGGCTGCCCCCAAGGGGTTTAAGGGGGGGGGGGGGGGGGAGCGTCTCAGGAGCTTCGCCGCGCGGGGATCGATTTCCACTGGTGGATCAGCTGCAGGGTCGTCGACGGGCCGAGCAACTGCAGACCTTCTCCACCGTCCTGGGCGCGACGGCCCCCAAGGGGTTAAAGGAGGGGGGCGTCTCAGGGGCTTGGCCGCATTGAGTTCGATTGCCACGGGTGGATCAGTGACTTTACCCTCCTCGATTGCCACGGGTGGATCAGTGACGGAGTTGCCGTCTTCGATTGCCACGGGTGGATCAGCGACGTTGATACCCTCGATTGCCAGGGGCCGATCTTCCTCAGGGATGTCGTTTCGAATCGCCTCGAGTGGATCCGCCACCAGACCCTCGGTTTCGAGATCGACGTCCGCACCTCCCGCCTCGACGGCACGCTCTGAGGGGGAGCGCGACTCCGAGGCTCGGCCTGTCGCTGCCGCCTTGGACCCTCTTCGTCGCCCTCCTCCTCCTCCCCCCCTCCTGTGCGTCCGCAATACAGTTTCAAAGAACTGGTTAGCATGCTCACCTGATAGTTTGTTGTTGTTTTATTTTTTCTCCAGGCCTCTGCGAGGCTGTTGAGTTTAGTTTCGTTTAGTTCCCTGAGCTCTGTGAAGCTGCGGTAGAGCTTAGCATGCTCACCTGCGTGTATCCTTTTCCACTTGGCCCCCGCGAGGCTGTTGAGTTTGTTTAGTTTCGTTTAGTTCCCTGAGCTGTTAATTCGGGTCCGAGCTTTGTTAAGCTGTTGTAGAGCGAGGTTCGCTTGGGGCTCCCGCTGCGGGGCCATCCTCTATCCGCGTCTCGACGCGCACGGTAGGTCGCAACTGCCCGCGATGAGATCGGATGGTTGATTTAAGTCGAGTTGTATCGACCTTCGGCCCGACACCGCATCGCCGCCGCCGCCGCCTCCCCCCAAGCGTCGGCTCTGCAGGACTGACAACGCATCCACCCACCGTACCTTAATTCAGCCCCTTACTGCTACCTCTTCCGCGCTCGTTCAGTCGAGGCAGCGTGTTCCCCTTGGAATCTCACTTGATAGAGTTGAGGGCCCACGGTGACCAGTGCAGCCTCGGCCATTCGCAGGATGTCTACGGCGCTGGAAGGGGCCACCAAGCACGCTCTGAGCCTCCCTCAAGTCAGTCCCATGTATGCCAGCACTTCTGATCGCATACAGGACATCGCAGATCTTTCGCAGATGTTTCTCACTGGAACGGGAGTGCAACGATATGGCCCAGCTGGCGTGGCTACGTGGCGACGTGCAGGCGCGCCGTGGTGCCTCGACGCCGGCTGGGCTCGTTCCCCTCACAGCAAGAAGTCGCGTGGGTGTGACATGATCTTCGGCCCGCAGATCAAACGCAGCTCGGTGGTTCAGACTTGGGCGGCGCCCGCAGCAGGTCGAGGCGTAGCACTTCGTGTTCGCAGCAAGCAGTGTGACATTGCAGCGGGTTCGGTGTATTTCCACCTGTACCAGCAAATGCCAGTCAATTCAAGGCGTATTATCAGACATGCGATTCTCTCATTGGTTGGCTCAGCTCGCTGCCGTTCTCGAGTGTTCACAGATGTTTCCCCGTGATCGGCACCGACCTCATCTTTGGGTTTGGGCTCGCCAAGCTTGAAGGCGCGGATCTGCGGCGACAGGTGCACAGCCAAGCGGTGGGCCCTCAGCGCGACGCGGTGCGCCAGCGCTACCTGGCTGAAGCTCTCATCCTCTTTCTGGAGATGCTCGGCTTAACGGTGCTCACAACCCACCATGGGTACGGCCCCACCTACTACAACGTTAAGGGCCAGGGCAGTCAGCTGGATTACCTCATCCTGCCGCGACGTGCTCTTACCGCGGTCCAGACGGCGGGCCCCATGCGCAAGATGGGGCGCTCACTCCAGGCCATTGCAGCACGTGCGCCGCGGGGCCACATCCCCGTTCATGCGCGCATCGTGTATAGACTGTATAGTGTCACAGATACTCTTGGTCTGCCCTCGCGGGTGGACGATCATCCTCAACTTGGGTTCGTTCAATTTAAATGCAGGTGGAATGGCGATTCTCTCACGGATGGGTTACGACGTGGCACTCACAGAGCACAGTTTCTCAGCAAGATTGAGGAGCGCATCTCGACGGACATTGACGGGCGAAAGCAGTCTCAACGACCGGAGCAAACTCACAACAAGGATCGGGCATATCTGTTGACGGTGATGAACGAAGCAGGTGCCGACTACTTCACTCAGAAGCCTTCCCTGCCGGAATATTATAAGCAGCGCTCGGGCCACATCAAGTTTCTCATCAGACAGCGTCGCCAACTTCGGGAACACTTAGGAGCAGCCGAACACATAAACGAGACAGCGAGTCTCACTCAGGAGCTGAAGCACCTCACCAGGGATCTTCGTAGGACCCGGCGTAACTACCTCACTTTTTGGAGGCAAGACGTCACCGAGGAGCTCATTCAGGCCCACAAGCAGGATCGTAAAGCTGAAGTTGCTCGTCTCTCCAGGCTTTTATCGGCTCGGGGCGCTTACACATGTGCTTTTCTTATGTTATTGAAGGACTTGGGCCTCTTGAAGGGTGCTTGGGGCGGCTCGAAGGGCAGTTGGAACCGCCTTCGGGCTGTCTTGGGGCCTCTTAGGGGTATGTCGGAGGCTATCTTGAACCATGCTCGGCTCTCTTGGGACATCTTGGAGGCGATCTTGGGCTCTATGAGGCCCTCTTGGAGCCATCTTGGCCATCTTGTGCGCTCCAATGGGTCGCGCCCGCCCCCCCCTCCAAGGCCCAGGGGAGGGGGTACGGGAAGGGGTCAAGAAACCCACCCGCCCGCAAGCCGTCTAGCTCACTCCCACCCGCCCTCCCTGCACGTAAGTAACACCCGAGCCTGAGCATGTTCAGCGGTCGTCTTTGGATGGACAGCCACTGGGACCAAAGCCGACCCCAGGAACGCGACGTTTATGCGAGGTGCGCCGCGCGTGCCAGGGGCGCCACGCGCGCCAGGCACCCCTGGGGCCCGAGCGTGCCAGGCACGCCTGGTGCGCCAGATGCGCCACGTGCTCCGAGTGCGCCAGGTGCGCCGCGCACTCCAGCCGCGCCAGCTGCGCCGCGTTCGGGGCACGTGCAGAACGCGTCAGGTGCGTCTGCGCACGTGACAGTTCACATCGGGAGACATGTCGGCCCCCCCGCCACCCCTGTCGAAAACGGAACCCTGGCCCTGAAGGCCCAAGCGTGCCAGATGCGGCACATGCTCCACGTGTGCCAACTGTGCCACGTGCTCCAGCTGCGCCAGGTATGCCAGCTACGGGGGGTCAATACGGACCGGTGGTGCTTGGGGCCCTGGCCCCAAAGAGTTCAGGATCTCAAATCCCCTTGAAGCGAAGTGCCGAGCATTCTGAGAAGGGCGGCTTTTCCAGGGATCGCAAGTCATCGTCACCGATGGACACATTGTGACATATTGAGCAATCGCGAAAGAAAGCAGATGAGAGCTCCCAGAAAGGAGGGTCCTGCGCACGCTCCAGAGTTGGAGCCCAATCGTGTGTGTGGTCGGTCATGTTTTTGATAGGGGTGGTTGGCCTGCGCGCAGTAAGCAATATGGGGGCATCCCCGAAGACCCTATCAAAGAACAGTGCAACGTGGTCGCGGGGCGCCCGCGCATACGCCAGATTTGCAGGCAAAGTTCATGTCGCATTGTTTTTTGTACGAGGGATGGTAGGGGGGTCTCATTGGTCCAGATTGGCTGCCAGTCGCCAGAGGGAGGGGGTGTTTATTCAGAGGGAACAGTGATCAACCCCCTCCCCCGAGCAGGGGAAGGAAGGGTTTTGGACCGAAGTCGTGAAGCTACCTGCGCCCAGGGGGGCTGGTGGGACTCCCTCCTCCCTGCTCCTCCCCTCCCTCCCCCCCTGCTCCTCCTCCCTCCTCCCTCCTCCCTGCTCCTCCCCTCCCTCCCCCCCTGCTCCTCCTCCCTCCTCCCTGCTCCTCCCCTCCCTCCATCCCTGCTTCCTCCTCCCTCCTCCCTGCTCCTCCCCTCCCTCCCCCCCTGCTTCCTCCTCCCTCCTCCCTGCTCCTCCCCTCCCTCCCTCCTCTGCTTCCTCCTCCCTCCTCCCACCTCCGTCCGTCCTGCCTCCTCCGTCGACCCCTCGAGGCGACGAGGGCAAGCAGATCCGGGCGGTCCTGGCGGAGCGCACGAGGCCCGCCGGGGGAGCGGAGGGGGTGCGGCCGGCGCGCGGCAGGGAGAGGGGGGCCTGCAGGAGGGGAGGCCATCGACTACACGTAAGAGTGACCTTTCGCCGGAGTGACCTTTGGTGCGGGCCCAATGGGGTCACCCGATCGCCGAGAGCGATGGGGCAGTAGCGTCTTGCGCGCTTGTGTTCGGCCCCCGCGCGGCCCCCGAAAAGCCGCGCACCAAAGGTCACTCTTACCCAGGGTCACTTTTGCGTGTAGCCGAGGCCAGGAGAGGTGAGCGGAGCGGCGTGGAGGGGAGGGGGAGGAGGGAGCAGCCAGCAGAGAGGCGGGGAGAGCGAGAGCGAGAGGGCGGGGGCGGGGAAGGGTGGGGAGGGGGAGGTGGGAGTGCACGAGGGAATGAGCGAGGAGGGAGGATTGGGGAGACGGGGCACGCCGGGTGAGCTCGTGTCATGCATGACGTTCGACCCCTTTCGACCAGGAGAGGTGAGCGGAGCGGCGTGGAGAGGAGGGAGAAGAGAGAGCAGTCAGTACCCCTAAATCCCTTATTAATCGACCCCCCCAAAAGACCGGACCCCCCTCCAAGTTCGACCTAATATTCCGGACCCCCTTCTCTTCGACGGGGCGCTTTAGTAAACGGGTCCCTCTGAGATCCAATCCAAAGAACGTGCCCAAATAAATTGGACCCCCCCGGTTGCAAACAAGGGCCTTAAAAAACTGGACCCGGGGGACGATGAATCTGATATTTGGAGTAGAGGCACGAAGGAAGGAGCGAGGAGGGAGGATTTGGGAGACGGGGCACGCCGGATGAGCTCGTGTCATGCATGACGTTCGAACCCTTTTCCGAGCAGTCCCATCCCGCTGCGGTGGTTCCTGTTCTATCCGCACACTGGGGTGTCTTGCAGGGCCTTGATCCCTCAAGTGACCCCTATCGTGTGATGCGTAATCAGACAGGGGGGCTTTGAGTTTGGGAGGTGGAGGTGGCAGATCAGCAGGAGGACGAGGACGAGAAAGGGGGAGGAGAAGGAGTATCAGCACCAGCAGGAGGAGTAGGAGTAGCAGGAGGAGCAGAAAGATCAGAGAAAGAGGCAGACGAGGGAAAGGGAGGGGAGGGGAAAGAGGAGAAGGGAGTCGGATCTAGAAGCGTGGCCCGCGCTTGGGCGAGGGCGCTATTCTGAACGACTGGCAGCAACGCGCCGACCTGAATCGTGGCCAGCGCTGCGCTGAGAACACCATTTCTGAATGAGCGGGAACGCTCTGCTTGAAAAGGGCTGGGGTAACATACATGAGAACACTTTGTGTTCAAGTGGAAGACAACTCGCAGGGGAGGCGGCGGCAGCACTGGACAGCTTCAGGGGAGAGAGGAGCATAATCTCCATCTTGCATATTTGTGCAGGCGGCGGGAGAGAGCGAGAGAGAGAAAGAGAGAGGGAGAGAGAGCGACATCAGTACACATACATATGTAGATATACACATGTGAGCGAAAGAGAGAAATGTATATATATATAGAGAGAGAGAGAGAGAGAGAGTGAGAGAGAGAGAGAGAGAACAAAAAAGGAGTCAGAGAGAGCGAGAGAGTGAGCGAGAGGAAGAGCAGGGGAGACGGGAGAGCAGAAGAGAGAAGCGAGAGAGAGAGAGAGGGAGCGATGAGGGAAGAGGCGTGGATGCAAACCAGGTCTGCTCGCGCCACATTTGACATCTCACCCTTCCAACCAATCATTTCCCACTGCGCTGGACCCCGTTCTATTCGCTGAGTCGGGTGCCGCATCGCGCATACAGATCACTAGATGACATTTGTAGTGGTCGTTCTGCCTCTTACCGCTCGAGTGAAGAGGGGGCTGGAACTCACCACGCACCGCGCGAGGAGGTCCGTGAGCAAAACTCGCGCACAATCCTGCCTCGGTGTGTGCGAAACAGGCACGCTGAGGACGATGAAGAGGACGAGCTGATGAGTTCATTCCATCTGTAGATCTCCATTACATGTGTTGGCAAACTTTCTCGTGTAGGTTAGCATTCCGTATGCATGAGTCTACTTTGTGGGTGCGCAGCAGTTCCGTGTTTCCCCATTTCTTCTGGGGTTCTGGTTTTCTTCATTACCGCGTGGCACCCGCGTCTCCCGCATCGCACACACCTCCCTTCCCCCGTCCTCCTCCCCTCCTCCTCTTCCTTCCTCCCTTCACCCACGCGCAACACATGCACACGCGCAACACATGCACACGCGCAACACATACAGCCGCACGCATGCGCACATTCGCAGACACATACACACACACGCACACACACACACACTGTACAATGATAGTGCACACCTGGCGTGTTCACTGCATTATACCATCATACAGCCGCACACGCGCAACACATACAGCCGCACACGCATCATACACATGACACGTACACCACACAATACATACGCGCAATATGCGCAGGGCGTGGCAGGCCTGGCAGGCGTACTTCATCATACACCCAAGACGCATGCGCACAGTCGTCCAGGCACAGCAGACGTGGCATCTTCTCGACACCATAGGGGCTGCGCAGGGGGTGCTCTCTCACCGCGGTCGCTATGCGCGCCGGTCGTCCAGGGCATAGCAGGCGTGGCACTTTCTAGACACCAGAGGGGGTGCGGACGGGGTGGTCTCTCACCGCGGCCGCTATGCGCCCCGGTCGTCCAGGGCACAGCAGGCAGCTTTTTTTCGACACCATAGGGAGTGAGCAGGGGGAGGTTCCTCACCGCGGCCGCTATGCGCGCAGGTCGTCCAGGCACAGCAGGCGTGGCATTTTCTCGACACCAGAGGGGGTGCGCAGGGGTGGTCTCTCACCGCGGCCGCTATGCGCGCAGGTCGTCGAGGCACAGCAGGCGTGGCACTTTCTCGACACCACAGGGGGTGTGCAGGGGGTGGTCCCTGACCGCGGCCGGGCACAGCAGGGGTGGCACCTTCTCAACACCACTGGGGCTGCGCAGGGGGTGGCTTCTCACCGCGGTCGCTATGCGCGCAGGTCGTCCAGGCACAGCAGGCGTGGCACCTTCTCGACACCATTGGGGCTGCGCAGGGGGTGGCATCTCACCGCGGTCGCTATGCGCGCAGGTCGTCCAGGGCATAGCAGGCGTGGCACTTTCTCGACACCAGCGGGGGTGCGAACGGGGTGGTCTTTCACCGCGGCCGCTACGCGCGCCCGTCGTCCAGGCACAGCAGGCGTGGCACTTTCTCGACATCAGAGGGGGTGCGCAGGGTGTGGTCCCTCAGCGCTGTCTCTATGCGCTCCAGGCTCGCAAGGCTTGGCAGGTGTGGCATTTTCTCGACACCAGAGTGGGTGCGCAGGGTGTGGTCCCTCAGCGCTGTCTCTATGCGTTGCAGGCCCGAAGGCGTGGCAGGCGTGGCACTTTCTCGACACCAGAGGTGGTGCGCAGGAGGTGGTCATTCAGCGCCGTCTCTATGCGTTGCAGGCGTGGCACTTTCTCGACACCAGAGGGGGGGAGCAGAGGGTGGTCCCTCAGCGCGTGGTCCGGGCGGACTCTGGATGACTTCAGTTGAGAGGCCTTCGCTGCTCTGTTGAGACGGGGCGCTGGAGTCTTTCCGACAATGGCAGCGCTGTCCAGCCGCACCGACCGCGCGTTGTCCGTGCCGCTCCTTGACGATTTCGGAACGCCCGCCCAACTGTTCTTGTCGTGCCAACTGCAGCCCAGAGATGTTCAATCGAAGGGCACCCACAGACATGCATGCGTATTGCGTTTGCTGTGCAATTCTTTTGCGCGCGCATTTGGGATATCCTCCGTCGAAGAGGAGCGGGGACAGACATGAAAGCTGCATGAGAGCCAGTGAGGAAGGGAAGGGGGGCGGGAGAAAGCAGCGGGGGGGAGGGAGACATGATCATTCTAGAAGCTCCCTGGAGTCATTGCGAAAGAGGGTCGAGTTGTACGAACTTCAAAGGTGGACCTCTCTGACAAACCGTGGCAGATCGTCTTGCGTTGCCTGAATGCTTAGTGCCGCTCCAGGAACGGCCCTCGGTGACCACCTTGAATATTTCCTCGATAGAAGAAAGATGGCGGGGATGAGAGGGGGAGGCTCAAGCAATGGTGCGTTGGATGACAAATAGGGGAACATCCGCGACGTGGGTTGGGAACGCTGGATGCCGCGTAGGTCGTAGATTATATCAGGATAAGCGAACACAGTAAAGTTCAAGTAAGTGTGAGGGGGGTTCTCGGTAGCGTAATTAGGTGGCCATTCCATTCGTGCGCAACGGTTCCCGTGTGTGGCTAGCAGATTAAACCCTTCTCACTCACAGGGAACAGTTGCATTCCATGTGTGGATATACATTCCATGTGTGGTGCTGGGCGCGGCTCCTTTTGTCGCGAGGCGCACCAGCATGCCAAACATCTTCATTGGCGGCCAGGGCGTCGGCGGGTGCAACGACGGCCCGGGCATCATGACCCTGCAGAAGCAGGGGGAGCTCCACTTTCTCCTTCTCAGTCCCCCCCTCCCTCCTCCCCCCTCCCCCTCCCTTCGCTCCCTCCTCCTCCCTCCAGTTCCCACCTCTCTCCCACCTCGTCGTTCCTCCCGTTTTTCCTCCTTCGGTTCCCCGCCTCTCCCGCCTGCCACTTCATCCCTCCAAGCGTCTCCCCCCTCGCTCCGCTTTTACATGTTTGATTATTCCTCCTTCCGTCTGTCAGTCCCCCCTCCATCCTCGTTTCAACCTGTTCTGGGTTCCGTTGCTCCTCCCGAATCTCTCCGTCATCATCGGGCGGCGGAGAAGAACATGTGCCTAATGAATCTGGATCGAATTTGGTGATTTGGGGGTGGAGGACAATGATGGTGATGATGCGATTTGACAGGACAAAAAGACGGAGGATGAGGAGGAGGAGGAGGAGGAGGAAAAGGATATGAAAGTAGAGGAGCGGACGCGACGGAGTAGGAGATGGGGTAGTAGGGGAACGGATTGGCAAGACAAGGGATGGAACATTGGATGGAGTAGGAAGGCGTTGCAAAGAGGAGAGGGAGTGGGAGGCGAATGAGGATGAGGAGGAGGGAGTGGCAGGAGGGGTTAAAGGAGGAGGAAGAGGAGGGAAAGGAGGACGAGAAGGAGGAGGCAGAGGAGTAGGAGGGGAGTGGCAGGTGGAGGTTGGGTGGAGTGGCAGCGGAAGGAGTGGTGGAGAGGGGATACAGAGAGGGAGGAGGAGGAAGAGGAGGAGAGGACTGGCAAGGGGAGAATAACCAGGAGGATCCACTTGAGGGAGTGGATGGGAAGAGGGATTGTTAGGACAAACTAAGCTTGCTCTGAGGGTCGGAGGATTCACAACGCGATCAACATGCTCAACGTATTCATAGGCGGGGCAGGGGGCGCAGGAGGACGGGCGAGGAGGGGAGGAGGACGGAGAAGGCCAGAGAAGGAGGGCGCCGGAGGACAAGGAGTGGAGAACGGAAGGACGGAGGACACGAAGGAAGGAGGGAAGGATTGGGGGGATGGGGAAGGGGGGGAGGGGGTCGAGGTGACGAGGAGGACACAGGAAGAGGCGGAGATAGAGGAGGAGGATGAGGAGGAGGAGTATGAGGAGGAGGAGGAGGAGGAGGAGGAGGAGGAGGAGGAGGAGGAGGGGGATGAGCAGAAGGATGGCGGAACAAGGAGGACGGAGAAGGATGAGGAGGACGGTGGAGAAGGAGAAGGAGAATGCGGAGGAGGAAGAGGAGGAGGAGAAGGAGGAGCAGAAGGGGAATTCGGATGATGAGGAGGAGGAGGAGGAGGAGCATGCGGAGGAGGAGGAGGAGGAGAAGGAGGAGGAGGAGAAAGTGGCGCCTGGGCGGCGCAAGGTCTGCCACGGAATGGCCGCAGCCCCCCCGTCGCCGAGCCTCTTCATCGTCCATACGCTCCTTCACTCTCTCTCCCTCTCTCGCTCTCTCTCTCCCCCTCGAAGAATAAGAAGCAACAGAACTGTAGTTATCCTGGCGAGGGGCCGTCCGCATGCAGTGGTGAGCAACGCAGTGGTGCGAACTGTCTCCGGTGGCGCTCCCCGTGGGGCCACGACATACACGCGAGGGGTGTTCCGAAGCAGGTCCGACGCCCGCACGCGGACGCCCCCTCGGGGGCCTTCGGTGGAGCCCCCCTTCTTACGGGGCCACGAAAGCTGTGCGAGAGGTGGCCACACCACCTCGCGCTGCCAAAAAATCGCGACGGGAGGTCTGTTCGATATTTCTGCCTCCGGGGGACCCTTCCCGTGCCTCCAGACCATCGAACAACTATTCAGGATGAAAGACTGGCCATCAAAAAATGACCATCAAAACCATCCAGAGCGTACATTCGCGGATTTAGCCATGATGAATTTTGTCGGCCACGTCTTTCGACAGCAGGCGTCGAGGCTTGCCACGAGGTGTGAAGGCGCCCCGTCATGCTTCTTCAGACAGCTCTCGTGCCGCTGGCGATGCGATGCGATGAAAAACCAGGCCCGGGAGAGGATCCAGACCTTTGGGGGTCGACGCTGTGAACGAGTCACGACGTCGGGGGTCTGGGTGTGTGCCGGCCCGGGTGCGGCGCCTCACGCAGACCTTCCCATGGGGGTGCCTGCTCGCCCACAGATCTTGCGAGGGGTGTGCCGGGATGGGCAGGGAGCCGCATGGGGACCGCCGTCCCTGTGGAGCCTTCGGTTGAGCTCCGAATGGGGCCATGAAACGTCCGATGGGGTGCGCCAGGATGGGCGGGGAGCCGCATGTTGACCCTCCTTCTTGGGCCTTCTTGGGCCTTCGGTGGCGCGGGTGTGCCGACACAGAGACATGCGTAGGGCAGGTGCAGGGATGGAAGGAGCCAGGAGGGAGAGGGAGAAGGAGGAGGAAGGAGGAGGTGGAGGAGGAGGAGGACGCGAGGTGCTGTCTCTTCACAACAAAGACTCAACACCACAGGACGGCTCACAGGATGGTTGGACATCTGTTTACGAAACATATGAATAATGTGAAGGAACACGGGATTAAGGATATGGCGAGGAAGGATAGTTACTCGAATACGACGGGCAATGATGCTAATACGACGAACGAGAAGAGTAGCACGGATACTATTCAGAATTCCCCAGTCAGTGTTTGCATTGCGGGGTTCCTATTTCGTCCAAATGGTCGTGGGCTTGGATGTCGGTCCGACCGGCCTGTTTGTCGCCGCTGCCGCCCGTCGCCACTCCTGTCGCCGCTGCTTCTGGGCCTGGGTGTCGGTTGCCGCGCTTGTTGTCGCCGTCGCCGCCCGTCGCCGCCGTCCGTCGCCGCTCTACTGCGCTTTGGTGTCGGTCGCCGCGCTTGTCTTCGTCGTCGCCGCCTCACCGCCGCCCGTCGCCGCCGCCCCGTTGCACACCCCCTTCCCCCGCCCGTTGCATTGCAATCGAGCCATCGGTTAAAAGATATCGGCTACATAGGTTGCATCACATGGCCTACACCACATATACGACACCACGTATATTTTGCACTGCATAGCTTACACCACGTAACACTACATAGCACCGCATATTTGGCGCCACATCGAGTGCACTATGTATCTTACACTACATGTATTGCGTTCCATGCAACCATTCACCGCGTAGATCATGCCCCATAAATCGGACCTCCCATATTGCGCCACCTAGCTTA